ATTTTGACACCATTCAGAAGCTAGATGATGCATACAACTATTAATTTGAAAAATAAAAACTATATTGTTCACACAAAGAGTTGAACAAATACACATTGGACTATGGTACCAGGTATAACAGCAGAGGCTCAAAAGACAGAGCATCATGGAGAGTATTCTCCAATTTCTCATCATATCCATCCAAGATCAAATTATCTGAGTTATGCTTGTTATCCCATTTTTATTTTATCCCATTTGCGATGGATCACCGAAAAATTTACATTTTGTTAACATTTACTCACTCTCGTGTCATTCCAAACCTGTATTATTTTCTTTCTTTTGTGGAACACAAAAGATATTATAAACAGTGTTGGGGAAAGTTACTTTTTAAAGTAATGAATTACAATACTGCATTAATCCATAAAGTAACTAATTGCGTTACTCTATATGAAAAGGCATGCATTTTTTTCCTTTTGAGTTACTTTTATCACCTGGGCTGGGCTTGCTTATTGTTTTTTTTAATAACGAACGAACAAAAAATACAATTACAAGCTTCGAAATCTGCTGATACAACAACTAAAGTGACTTGTATATTTATCCAACTGCATAATAAACAGAAAACACTGGTGTGAAATTATGGATGCTGTACCAAAGCACATCTATACACAATAAGCTCGACTGGAGCCAAATTATTTGAGGACAAATCTGAATATATCTCTTCCCTTGGCTAGTCAGGATGTGGCCTAGGGAAATTAAAATGTCAGGAGGCGACACGGGGAGGGGGAACTAATGGCTCTGACTGTCCTCCAAGAGCGTGATTATCACGAATAAGATTCCAAAGCTAAATATGTCTTTGTCTCTTCCACAGTCACTGCTAATTAAATCTGTCCGATATAAAGCCAATTTGCATTCCACTAAACTCTGAAAACTGGCTCAGGATTAAACCAGGAGGGCAGCAACACCACTGCTGGGGGATCCGTTTGGCCTGATTTATGGAGATGTGTGTGGAGTGTGTTTTGTTGGAATTTCTGGACAATGGAAATGGAAACATGCGATACTACTTATAACTCATAAAAGTTCATAAAAAAACTTGTAAAAAAATCCCACATTTGGCTTTGGCTCTGAGGATAGAGGAATGGTAGTGAAGGAAGAGTGAACTATAAAAATCAGGATATCAGGAGTGAAGCTGTAAACCAGTCTAGCTGCCGCTGGAGCTCCCTGGGGAACTCCTGGATTACCTGAACTTCAGGGTGGGCTGCTGTCTACCAGACCCAGATAAAAATGTATTTTTTTAACTCCTGAAACACTAAAAGACAAGTCAACAGAACAGTGCGCACAAACGCTACTGTGCCACTGACGGAAGAGCCAAATCTAGATCACTAGTAAAAAGTGTCTGTTTTGCCCTCATTACTGATGTAATACAAATGCTTAATTACAATTTAGCATAATATTTTGAGTGGAAGCATTGACATGCTGTGATGTGAATTTGTTAGGCTTAAAATCACACAAATCACTTTCAATGCAGTCTCAGACACCACTGTATAGAAAGTACATATTGTAGCTTTATTGAGAGGGAAAAAAATAAAAAAATAAAAAATAAACCAATCTGTAATTACTAATAGAGGAGATATTAAAATAGCCAGAAAACTGGCAGAAACTGCAAATAGCATTTTTAAAAATGTGTAAAGGGAAAAAATGAAAGTGGAAGAGTTTACGAGAATGAAATACATAATTATCAACTTTATCATTTTTGCCAGAATTAGCAAAAAAAAAATAATAATAATATTTTGATATAATAGTACAGAAATATAATTTCAATATTATATATATATATATATATATATATATTTTACTCAACCTCAACTCCACTTCCATTTCTTTTCTTTCAACACATTTTTTATTTGCATTTTCTGTCCTTTTCCTGCTATTTTAATATCTTCTGATTACATATTGTGATTTTGTTTTTTAATTCTCATTTACATACATATACATATATATACATATACATACATGTATATATACATACATGCATATATATACATACATGCATACATGTATATATACATACGTATATATACATACATATATATACATACATATATATACATGCATACATATATATACATACATACATACATATATATATATCATCACATGAGCAACTTATCCAAGTACTGAATTTCAGAGAATAAACATGGGCATGCGATAGTATTTGGAATAACTGCAAATAAAAATATTTGTATACGTTTTTTGAAATATTTTTATTGACAAATAACTATGTTGGTCTTTTTAAACTGTATACTTGTTTTATTTTATAGTGCCTATAAAAAGTCATAGACAATACACTCAGTACAGTAAGAAAAAAAGAATTGCGTACAGAAAGCTTCATTGTTCGCTCCTTACAATAGCTGAGCTGTAGGGAGGGGTCAAATGCGCGGTTTTTGGAGTTGAATGAAATCACCCTTGTTTTCGGTCCCGATTGCTCCTGTTTTCCGGACTCCATAAATGAACAATTCCCTTTCATTCACCTCTCAGGTTTAATTCATGTGTTTATTTTTGTTTCGGGACCTAAGGATGAAAGCCTGGAGGGGGAGGGTGGGCCTGCTTCAATTTCCACTGATTCATTTACGTATCCGCCTTCATTCACAGACTTAAAGAGTGTTGCACAATACCAGCCAACTGTATTGTTGATGAAAACCATAAAGGAGGCATTTAATTGGGCTATTTATCCTCTACTTAAGTCCTGCACTGTGCCCGGTCTGTTTGGGATTGTGTTCACACATACACACACAAGGCCTTCTCCTGTTGCACCGGCTGTCTCCTGCGGAAAGTGCGGGGCCAAATAATTACAGCTGCTCATGATCAAAGCTAGAACAATGTCCAAGACAAATACAATCGCGGCATCGAATAGCACCACAGCAGATGATATATGGGAAATCAAGATTGCCAACCAGGTGCTCAGCCAACAAGCCCCGGCTGAAACAGAGCCACTATGTTTTACTAATAAAAACACATGGCTAAAGGCCAAGCAGATGTAACTACACACTCATATTTCCTCTATCGGTTATTAATTATGCGAACAAAGCTTAGGTAATCTGCAGTGGCAGAAATGTGAGATTTTGTTCAAGCGGGGCTTTGGAAAACAGTACAATGTGTATCAAGATGAGCATGTATTTATGACCTCACAAAGCTACCACCCCATTTGCATGCTGTCATGATAGGATCTTCAATTTGAATGCTAATGCCAGTTTGGTCATATATCATCAGGTTGTGTTTATTTATGGCCAAATACCGTGAGAGAGAACGTAAAGCAACACAAATGACCTCACAGCCTCTTAAACCTCAGACAACACAGTACTGTGTTGCATGCGTTTTGTTCATATGTATTTTATTTTTTTATAACGTATTATCAATTGTATTTTTTTTATGTAAAGATACATATTGGAATTTAATATGCAGACAAGTCATTCAAAGACTGATTTCCTTGAAAAGGAAACATTGTGTGGCACTAATATCGCTCTTTTTGTTGAGCATCTCCACCAGCAGGATTAGGATGGAAAAGCATTAAGAAACCTGAAACTTTGAAAACAATGGGTCTCATTCACATATTTATACACACAGAACAACTTTCCACATTTTCTTTTGTGTGTGTGTGTGTGTGTGTGTGTGTGCCAAATTCACAACCTGTACATGACTCACATTACAGAGCATTCATTGTAGCTGTAGCTACATAATCATATTCATGCATTTCAAACTATAACACACCTCTTCTTACTCTTTTACTGTACGTAAAGAAATGTATACAGTATAAAGATGATTTCTCTAGATAAAACTTTTTTCTTATTCTTAACACATTTATAAGACTATCCAGAGTATGTGCTTTTTGCTTATGTGTGGTTTCAGTTATTCCTACATTTTTTCGTAAATTTAGAAAATAATTTAGCATGAAAGTTATTGATGAATCATGATTTTTTTTTTCATGAAAATGTTCATACACAGAATTCATGCACAATTTATGTAAATGTATGGTTAGTAAATGAGACCAAATTAATTTTTCGTAAAATTTCGTATGGTGACACTACTGGTGGAGAAATGACAAGTAAATAAAAAAATTATTAAAATAGTGAAAATCTGGTTGCTTTTTTGCTTGCTTGCTTTTTTTTTGCATTGGTTGCTTGCTTTTTGTTTTTTATTAAATTTATAAAGATGCAGTAAACTGAATCTATAATTGCATGTTGTGCATGCAACTTAACTAGATTTACTGTAATAGAAAATAAAAATAATTTAATCAAAATATAATACAAAATTGCAATAATTTCACTATTGCATGATTTGCATCCACCATGTTTTTTCAGCGACACACCGCCAACTCGGAAACTCAGGGATAAAAGAAAATTCCCAATAGTAATTACAACTTTTTTGTGCAGTTTATGTGGGTTCAGCATTTAAATATGGCCTTTTTGAAATGATTTAAATGCACCAAAAGTGGCAGAGTTCAAGTTTTAAAGGGGTCATATGATGCGATTTCAAGTTTTCCCTTCTCTTTGGAGTGTTACAAGCTGATTGTGCATAGATAAGATCCCTGAAGTTGTAAAGACTAAAGTCTCAAAACCAAAGAGATATTCTTTATAAAAGTTAAGACTCTGCCACGCCCCCCTAAAACGGCTGTATGTGATGGCTCATGATGCTGGAAATATAAGCACAATTACTTAAAATTATTAAAACACACACATATAAACACACACAATACAATTTTCCATACTCTTTGTGGCCTTGTTTAACTTGTAGCAGGTGAAATATAGAAAGAGGACTTTTAATATATATCAGTATTAAGATACAGACACAGCTGTGAAACCTTAAAAGAGAAATATTATTAAAGTGAACCTGATCATTCTGTCGGGACATAGTGGCAATATTTAATTTATACAAATGCTTCAGTTATATATATACTGTGAGTGTCTATATATAAATATATACAAACTTTTTTTTTTTTTTTACTTACAACTGGGTCACCACTTGACTCCTGGAAATGGCAGATTTGAACAGCTCCTGTCTTTTTTTAAACATACAATATGCATCATATGGTTTGTGAACAGCCTTTAGGCGTGCTGTCTGATACGGAGACGACAGAGTCTTTCGTAATGACAAAGATCACTTTCACTTACCCAGGTAGGTGGCGTGAGGTTGGAACGCTGCCATACAGTGTGAAGACACTCAGACGATGAACGAGGACAAGATGAGGACTGTCATGTCCTCCTCCTCGCTGCCTCATGGGACTGGGTCCTCATCATGTCATGAAACAGATGCGGCTCTTTGATGTGAACATGCCAGGCTGTAGCATTTGATGTATGATACCCCTCTATCCATGTGATCTCTTCATTTCAAAACCCTCACATCTGAGGTAATGCCCTACATCTCAGATTTTAATATCTGTAGATATGCCAAACCGAATGAAAGCAGATTAAAAGGAAAAGGATGCAGTCAATGAAAATCATGAATGTTTGTGACTAACTCAAGTATCAGACATCGCAGGAAAAAACATGTGGAACCAAGCAAATATTTACATAAGCTATGAAAATCACATGGGAATGTCAGCAAACATTCTCATTTCATCACAAACGTAAAGCACCTGAGAAAAATACAGGTAATATTGGAGGAGGAATTTAAAGACAAGATTTTTAACGAACAGCTAATCGGTATAGAACTTGTAATATGTGTCTAGTAAAGTGGGGAGTTGTTTTAGTATTATTTATACACCATTATAGTTTTTTTTCTCTCAACATTACTATTCAGGTAAAAATTTATTTTATTTCAGATTTAGTTTTAGTTCAGGTTTGTTACTTAAAGAGACAGTTCTCCCAAAAATGAAGAGACATCATTTACTCACCCTCAAGTTGTTCCAAATCTCTGAGTTTCTTTCTTCTCTTGAACATTAACAAAGATATTTTGAAGAATGTTGGTAACCAAACAGTTGCCAGTAGCCATTGAGTTTTCTTTCATTCTATGGAAGTCCATAGCTGATCGGTACCAACATTTTTCAAAATATCTTCTTTTGCTTTAAACTTGTGTTTAAATTATACCTTTGAATTTTTTTAGTTAGTTGCCAAGGTAACTCTAATTTTTAAATTTTGTTTAGTTTAAGCTTTTTATTTTATTTCAGATTAATCAAGAAATGTTAACCAAGAAATGTTTTTAATAGTTTTAAACCGTTAAAGATAACAGCCCAGCTTCATTGTCCTTTTATAGGAGGCAGATTTTGTCATGGACGGCTTTGAATGGAAGTAAAAGCAGATGCAGGGGAAATGGAGGGGAAATGTGGCCGGGCTTCATGTAACAGTTTAATCTACCGGTACAGCCGATGATGTCACATGATGGAGTGGTGACACTAATTAGTCATGGAGGATATGCAGCAATGCGTGCAAGTTATCGGGCACTTTCCACACATGGGTGCAAAATGGGACTTGAAAGTTTCAGGAAAAATGTTGGTTCTTTTTCAACAAAGATTCCGAGAAACAAGGTGCGCAGGTATCCAATTTGTTAAATCATGCATTTACTGGGAATTGAACACATAACCTTGGCATTGCTAGAATATTGTATAAAATAAAACTAAAAAGTCAAATTTTTTCTTACAACGATGTTGACTGTTAAATGGTTGAGCTTGACATCTACAGTCAAGACTACAATGAAAATCGAATCGGATTTCCAACTTGTCTTCCCGCCACAATGATGTAACTTCACGGGTGTCACAATTTTATAAAATGTTCCAAAATGTGGTTGTGTGCAAAATATGAATTTGGTAATAATTAGTCATTTTAATAATTATTTTTGTTCTCTAATGAACTTCGTATCAATTCATATTGAACATTTTTGACTGTTGTATGATTTACATTGTCAGATGCAGTCACGAAGGTCAAAACCTATGAGCTGGAACGCTTTGAGATATTAAAAAGACATTAACTGTCTGCTGAACGATCCAAGAGTCTGGAGTTTGTATGCTTAGAAATAAACTCTAACGTATATTTATTTGTCAGGAAAACACATGCTGTTCTGACAAAGACGTCTATCGTCAACAACAAATATTTGGACCGCAATAATTTGTTCCCCATCCCCTTTCAAAATAACTTCACTAACCCATCTTTACATGTTAAGGATATTGTAATGATTTCCACATGATTTGATGCATTTACCTTTATGGTGGTTTGCATTTTCAGCACTGGAGAGAAGGTCAAACGGGCCGAGGCTCGAACCAGGTGGTACAAAAAGCCGCTTCCCTGTCTGTCAGTATTAATAAAGCCTGTGTTAAAAGACACTGCTGAAGGAAAAAAAACAGTTGGCAGAAACATTTACAAGCATCATTTATCATACACATACACGGTTACATGATTGACTGAATGCTACAAGTTGAGCACCCTTTGTATTGAAATTGTTCTGGCACATTTAATAAAGATATAAGGCTAGTCTTGTGTCTCAATCGAAATAATTCAAGTGATCCCATAGGAATATAGGTAAACAGATGAAGAGGGGAAAACGTAACTTTATACCCAGGCAAACGTTCACATCATCTTCGTATTGAAGTGCTATTCACTCATGTTGAAGGCCCCACTCGATGCGGATCACAGATCGAACAAGATCTGGCAGAGGACATATGGAGAAAAACATGACGGCTGGCACATTTGGACGTTTAATCTCCAAGCTGGAATCAAAGGAGAGGGCAGGGAATTCCTGAAAGGGTCTGGATTAACCCTAGGTGTCCCACTTTCACAGGGGCGCAACTGCATCTGGAGGCCAGCTGGCTCTCTGCATGTATTTTCTGATATATTTTATTGACCTTGTACAGCAGTTGCACACGGCACTGTTTAACTACTGGAACTGGGGAAAATGTACGTTATGATCAGTGAGTTTCATGTCTTTTCATATTTTTCGACGAGCGCAGACTTTTAATATCAATTAAGCTGATATTTGTGATTTTTTTGGGTGGAATGGTTTATTAAAGACACTGAGGTAAGAAGGACAGTTCTGTTAAAAATAAACAGGACAACTATGAATTGTAAACTGAAGAACGTCTGCATGATAATCTTTCTATTCTAATATAACACAAAAAGTCATAAAAAGAAATACTACAAAAAATGCACCTAAAGATAAAGCTAAATAATTTTGTTCAACAAAACACTATATTCAAACAAAGGAATATCAAAACACTATGGCTAGAAATGTTACAGACTAGACAGATGCTATTAAAGTAATGCCAGTAACTTCAAAAACAAACCTCACAGATTTAAATTGTTTTGCTGCTTTGCAAGCAAATTCCTTAAACAATTGTCCAGATTTTAGAATAAAATGTTGCCAAAACGAACACAAAGGAGGATATACTGTCACCACACCCAGTTGAATAATCGTTGAATAAAACAATAGGGTTTTTTCTAATGATATCAACCATCACATATAACCTGGTACAATAACCGTATACAGTCCCATCCAGGCACACATTTTGGCTCCAAGAATTGTTCATTGCTCAGTACATTAAGCTCTATCAACAGCATTTGTGGCAGGTTGAAATGATTTTATGGTAAGGCAAAAAAAAAGTTTACATTAGTGTACTTGCAATGTATTTTTGCATATTTATATTCATAAATACTAGTGCTGTCAAACGATTAATCAATCGCATCCAAAATAAATGTTTTTGTTTACATAATATATGTATGTGCACTATGTATATTTATTATGTATATATACACACACATGCATGTATATATTTCAGAAAAATATTGTATTTTTATATATTATATTTATTAAATTATATGAATGTAAATATAGACATGTAAATATTTTCAAAATATATACTGTATGTGTGTGTATTTATATATACATAATAAATATACACAAAACACACACATATATTATGCAAACAAAAACTTTTATTTTGGATGCGATTAATCGTTTGACAGCACTAATAATACATTATTTAGTTTTGCAATGGGTCTTCTGTTTTAGGTCTTTCGTTTAGATATTTCTCTATGCAAAAAGTCCTTTATTCTTGCACATATTGTGCAAAACGTATCAGCTTTACTGATGTTACTGACTTTTTGCCGTTTAAAAAAAAAATTTAATGTATTTTTTTGTTCTGTTGACAATATGTCATAAATGCTGTCAATAGTGCTCAGCATGCATTGAAGCCAGAAAAATGCTTTCATGTGTTCAATGTGTTCAATGTTTCAATAAAAGCTCTTTAAGGCAAGTAGGGCAATTTTCAATTTACATGTCATCTTTCATCCAATTGTAACAGCGATTATGGAGTGTACAAGAATAGAGATGGCATAATTTGCTAATAAAACAGTTTTAGTTTTCTATCTTTACAGTATTGAATACTTAAAATGCACCTTTCACAAGTTAACTCGCTCTTTTTTTTTTTTTAACCGAACATATAAAACGCTGCCATAAGACTCTGAACTATGAAACCGACAGTGATTTAATGAGGAACAACATCCAAAAGAGTGCAAGAAGTCCTTTGGGTGGTCCCAGTGTTCAATCATTCTGTGTGTGTTTTGTTTTTTACAAACCAAGATCACCTCCTTCTCCTCCTCCTTGACCTTCTTCCACTGTAACAGAATTGCTTCCGCCTCTCTCTCGAAACCGGCTTAGGCCTTCTCCAAAGACTGGTAGTATTCCTTCAGAACATTCCAGGCTTTGGGTGCCATGAAGCCTTCCGGAGGGTTCCGGCCCTCGCGAGCCATCCTCCGCATGCGGGTTCCTGAGATGAAGTCATAGTCCTGGTGTCTGGGTAAAACGAGACGGCAGAGGGAATGTTAAGATGTGCACGGTAAAGGGACAGTGTGGTACCCAATGTGATAAGAAAATGAAAAAGAAACATAATCTCGGGGTTTGCGTCAGAGATAATAACTAGGTGTTGTACACTGCTCCTTTGTTCGGGACGTTTCGCTCTGGATGTAACGATGCATTATTCTCTGAAAAGAGCTCTATGATAAAATATGTTCTCTCAAGTGGCTCTTCAAGCCACATAATTCCTTTCAACGGTGCGAAGACGAGGAGGTTAACAGGCTGACTTTACTTCTAGACAAAAAATAAATGAGCAAGAAACAGAAATCTAAACTTCAGACCCACGTCATTAAATCCAAACTCTCGGCTACACATTTTCATTTAAACAAATGCTTTGAAAATAAACAGTGCAAAACGTCTGATAAATAGAGCTAATTAGTCTCCAACTGCATGAATAAAACTCGAACACTAGTCTAACTACAATCCTCAACGGCTCCTATACGGATAGGGTTTATTTGTTACGGATTAGTTGTTCTTCAATTAAGACGCAGACCTTACGAAAACAAATTCACACAGCGCAATGAATTTATAAACGTACACTGTTGCACTGTGCTTTCCCTATCACATTCATTAAACTGTCGTTCACAGCGGCTTTTCAGTCTAGACAAGCAGTTTCATATGTGCTTATAATGTGGAATGTTGAGTAATGCATTTGAACAAACCCAAGTATTTTGAGTCAGTCAAGTAATTTTTATGGTACTGATAGTGCTTAGTAGGATTAATTTTATTTTATATACACTTACGGTACAGGATAAAAAATATACTGCTATCATTTAAAAGTTTGGGGTCAGTACTCATTTATTAAGCCTTGCCAGTTTAAACATTTAAGAGCCAGAGGACGCGAGCGCAGTGAGAAGATTTGTGCGTGCGCTCATTATTGTGTTTAAATGGACAAATTCACACAAAAATTGTCAAAATGCCTGTCTTGGTAAGTATCCTATAGCAGACATAGCCGGCTGAACGTACTTAGTGTCTTAAAGTGACAGCACTTTCTTAATATTAATCAAACAGCAACAACAAAGAAATCACTCACTTGACTGAATAGCTTTTGTAACTTAAATAAAGATTAAACTTTAATTTATACAGTCAAATATGCAATGCTGTTTTACATTTCATTACTTTATTCAATTTCTGTACCTAAAAACTAATGTTAGACCTACCTAAAAAAAAAAATGAAAATCACTGTTTATTTTATTTGTATCCTTACTCTATTGTATTTATTTGTGCTGTTGCTTGTAGTTAGATAGATTATTCTTATTTTCTTTATTTTTATTTGACAGTATAGTTTTTCCTAAACATAGCACATACCGAACCATACCGAAACCGTGACAGAAAAATATAGCTGGTTTTCCAAGTAAAAACCGCCAAATAACGTTTACACGTAGTTACGTTATGATACGTAATTAGAGGGTGGGGAGATGGGGGGATTCCCCCGGTCTATATGTCTCTGCATCTGCTAAATAATTTTTTTATTCACAGTGAATAGTAGTTAAAACTCCCACCCGTGTGACACTCCAATAACAGACCATGCAAAATACCCAAAAGTATTTAAAATATTGCAAAGTAATGTTGCAACCTTGCAAACAATAATAAAATCAGAGAAGGACTTCAACTGTAAGTGACACGAGCATACACAAAACAATATGATGTTTGTTATTATTAAAATTTTATATAGCCCACGTTTTTATAAACATTATTATTTATAGCTTAGGCAATAACGTTGACAATAACGTACATCTTCAACATACGCTGTCTATGACCAAAAATGTACGTTTTTCAGTGGACTTTTAAAATTGGCTTTGCTTGAGAAAAAAAAAAACATACAGTTAGTGTTTTTTTACAGTTTTTCCCTAAACATAGCACATGCCAAACCATACCGAAACCGTGACACAAACCAAACCGTGAGTAAGTTGAACCGTTCCACCGCTAATATATATATATGGGCTGAGTGATAAGACAGCCCCCCCACCCCCCATTGGCTTTTAGGACACTCAAAAGGGATCACAGATGACAAATAGCTAAGAAACACCGTGGCAGGTGTCGATTTGAAAGTTTCATCAAACACAATGTAATTTTCGGCAATTCGTCATTTTTCCGCTTGTGCGAGCGCTTCGCGAACAGCTTACCTCGCACATTAAATCAGCCTCAGACCAGCAAATCACGGAGAACGCGCTACAATCCTGAAGAGTCATAGCAACAGAGCAGAGGCGAGAAAGCTGCGGACGTAGATTTACAGAACATTACTGCCGTTTGGCAAATAAATAATTTTACGTACTTATTCCTAACTCTTTAAGCTTTAAAACTCCATAGAGAACAGTTAATATGCATTTAAATGAGAAACAGCTTGGACTGATTTGAGGCATTTTAGAAGAGGACTTTAAGGGGGATGGCTGGCAATTAGGCTCAGCATCCATATTCGTCTCGAATTTGGCCAGGCCCAACACCCTGCTCAAGGAACAGACGGAACGCCATAAATTTACTAAGGCGCCAAGCGGGGCCCTTTGAAAGTCAGACGGAGTGGGAGTCTGCCACCTCAACCAACTTTTCGGGGGTCTTGCTGGGACGAAGGAGGGAAGCGATGCCAGTAACCTCCAGCCCCACTGTCACATGCAGCTCGACTTCACATATCAAGGTAAGCAATGATCTCAATAAATAACTGCACCACTTAAAACATAGGAGACAATTTTTGGAATTACTATTCCTCTACCCATGTTTTTTTTCTTGCATGGAAGACAAAAGGAGATGTTTTACAGAATGTCCAAGCTGCTCTTTATTGACTACTTCGAATGTTTATATTCTTTTATACTTAAACACTGAGTGACCATAATGCACATAAATGATTTGTATAGATTATTTTCATAGTGTTTTTTTTTCTGGTCCTCTTTGAATCTTGACAGATGAAAGATCTATTTGAAGATCTGTCTTTGTTGTTGTTGTTGTTGTTCTTCCATGGAACAAAAAAAACTGTCATATTTTGTTTTGGAATGACCTGAGGGTGAGTAATGGATACAATTTTCATTTTTTTGTTAAGTTATTCCTTTAAACTCTGTGTGGGATGTTCATTTGCATAAAGATCATGCAACATTAAAAGTCCACTGTCTTTCTTCAAGTCAATTTTGCTGCATGTTGACATGCTACATGGTCTTCATCAAGGACGACTGAAAAGCCTGTTAACTCGATAGCAGTGGGCGCTATTAATTGCAAGACGAGACACAGCGAAAACGCATGATTTTCGTTAGTCATCTTCTGCAGCATTTGCACAGCGCCAGAGGAATAATGGCAGATCTCCACTTCTAAATGACTTCAAAGAACGGAGCAAAGCCGTAGAATTTGGTGAAAGCACACAACAACAAAACATTTCCTGTTATTCTTGGCAACGCAGCTAGGAATCGAGGAAGCCTGACATGGAGGGAAGTTTGTACAGTGATAGATTGCTTGAACATGTACAGAAGATAAATGTTTATGAAGTAAATTCATGCCTTCAGCAGTTGGTTTCAATTTACCACAACTTTCAATATGCCCAAGTCTCAAATTTGATGAAATTAGTTGCTTAAAGATACTTGTCTTACTCAATTTGTATAGTTAGTTTGTTTTAATAGACAGGAAGGCAAATCTAAAGAGGAAAAAAAGACATAAACTTACTTTTTGGGGTCATAAAAATCCATGGCCTTCTTGGCTTTATTGTAGGCTGCCACTTTGAAAGGCACGATTTCCAAGGATATGAGTCCAGGGGCCATGGTGAGAACTTTAGCCCCGTGGGAGGGCTCGTAGAGGTCTTTACCTGTGTCTGGGTGAGGCATTCCTGCAGGGTCACGGCCCACTATGTAAAAGTTGGCCCCAGCCACCATCCTGGCCCTACAGTGCCACTGCACCTGTTGGAAGCAGTTCAAATGTATTTTATTTTTTCTTTAAAACAAATCTAACTAAGAGTTAGTCCAAGCAGTTGACTTATGAATGAGAATTTGAGTTGTTGTTGAGCTTTATGTGAGAAAAAGGCAAAATTTAAACCATTATTTGCTTAAAATCTTTCCCTCTGTTATAGCTCTCAAATGTCATTCACATTTGTGTATATTTGAATATGGCATAACAAAATGTTCTCGCAACCAAATGCATGCGAATAAGATTTGAGAGCAGCCACAACAGGAAGATTTTAAGTGTCTAACTTCAATTTTGGTTTTTGAGACAAAACGGCTGTGTGATTTTAGAAGACGTACAAGTCAAACAGAGAGACATAGAAAAAAAACATCTGGGACAATCTGTGCTGAACTTTTCTCTTTTCTTTTATGTTATTCACAAATGAAAGAATGGTTGGAACAACATGAGTGTGAATAGATAGAGGGTGACAGATTTCATTTTCTGATTAACAATCCTATGCTTAAAATTGGAAGAACGATGATAATGTAAACCAAATGCAAATGTGAAAGTTTGTTTAATGGCACAGAGATAGCGACAATAAAAAAAAAATAAAAAAAAGAGTCAAAATGTATAATTTCAAGAAAAATGAAAACATCTCTTATTATGAACGTATGATTACAATTGGCCTACATCACCTAAGCTAATCCTTTTCTGTGGAGTCAGCGTGTCCCCTACTTCTTCCTCATAAGTCAATGAGGTGAACGAATGCTTCCTGTGGGCTGCTTTAGTCTTAAGACTCTGTCTGCTCCCAATAAATTTTTTAATGTCCCCGGCCACATGATTAAAGAACAAGAGACTTCAAAATAGCCATGGAACACTACACCAGCAACAAGTTTTGTCAGAAGAAAGCTCCCCATTTGTGCTTGCTGTGTGTGTGTGTGTGTGTGTGTGTGTGTGTGAGTCCAGGGGCCATGGTGAGAACTTTAGCCCCGTGGGAGGGCTCGTAGAGGTCTTTACCTGTGTCTGGGTGAGGCATTCCTGCAGGGTCACGGCCCACTATGTAAAAGTTGGCCCCAGCCACCATCCTGGCCCTACAGTGCCACTGCACCTGTTGGAAGCAGTTCAAATGTATTTTATTTTTTCTTTAAAACAAATCTAACTAAGAGTTAGTCCAAGCAGTTGACTTATGAATGAGAATTTGAGTTGTTGTTGAGCTTTATGTGAGAAAAAGGCAAAATTTAAACCATTATTTGCTTAAAATCTTTCCCTCTGTTATAGCTCTCAAATGTCATTCACATTTGTGTATATTTGAATATGGCATAACAAAATGTTCTCGCAACCAAATGCATGCGAATAAGATTTGAGAGCAGCCACAACAGGAAGATTTTAAGTGTCTAACTTCAATTTTGGTTTTTGAGACAAAACGGCTGTGTGATTTTAGAAGACGTACAAGTCAAACAGAGAGACATAGAAAAAAAACATCTGGGACAATCTGTGCTGAACTTTTCTCTTTTCTTTTATGTTATTCACAAATGAAAGAATGGTTGGAACAACATGAGTGTGAATAGATAGAGGGTGACAGATTTCATTTTCTGATTAACAATCCTATGCTTAAAATTGGAAGAACGATGATAATGTAAACCAAATGCAAATGTGAAATTTTGTTTAATGGCACAGAGATAGCGACAATAAAAAAAATTTAAAAAAAAAAGAGTCAAAATGTATAATTTCAAGAAAAATGAAAACATCTCTTATTATGAACGTATGATTACAATTGGCCTACATCACCTAAGCTAATCCTTTTCTGTGGAGTCAGCGTGTCCCCTACTTCTTCCTCATAAGTCAATGAGGTGAACGAATGCTTCCTGTGGGCTGCTTTAGTCTTAAGACTCTGTCTGCTCCCAATAAATTTTTTAATGTCCCCGGCCACATGATTAAAGAACAAGAGACTTCAAAATAGCCATGGAACACTACACCAGCAACAAGTTTTGTCAGAAGAAAGCTCCCCATTTGTGCTTGCTGTGTGTGTGTGTGTGTGTGTGTGTGTGTGTATGGATTGTAGACGCCACTGGCTTCTAAACAGTTTGGTTCTGTTTACATCACTCTTGGAGACACAAATCAATTCCTACTGGAAAGTCCAGCGATGTGTGATGCCCACAAGAAGAGCCTGTCCCTGTTGTCTTCAGCCTCAAGCACAAATTAGGTGGAACAGATCAGAAATCCAGTGCACCACCGACGTTTCATGGAGGAATGTGCCCTGTGCAAGCTTCCTCAGCACTAACTTTCCATACAACTCTTCATTGGCTTCAAATGCCGTTTTAATTATCATTCATAGTACAAAGTGCATTTGATAGAGCTTCTTTCTTTAAAATATTGCATATATCAAACAATTTGTAATTCCTGAAGTATGCAAGTATGGGATACTTTAAGAATTACATATTGAGAAAGATCTCAAAAGCTACAAGGCTAATTTGAATCTGGTGTTTCAAAATGAGGAGCTACCAGTTGCATTAAAAATGGTCTTGGGGGGATTTCAGTTTTCATTTTTTTATATATGGTGAACATCATATCTTTATTAGATGACTAGATGTTCAAAAATCTCCACTTAAAGCAAGAATATGGAAAAAATATAATGACCAGCTGACCTTAAGTTATTATTTTAATGGGGTGCCTCAGGTATCTGTTCTCGGTCCTTTTTCATTTTACACTAACCTCTGTTGGGCCGGCGTACATCATTGGTGAAGGGAAAATGGCCACTATGGTGGAGTTGGGGTCAAGCAGTCCCTCCTCCAGGACAGCCGCATGCTGTTTCATGCGCCAGGCCAGTGGCACGTCATCATCTTTGGTCCAGCCGCCCAGTGGGTGAAGCAGAAGCACGGGTCGACGATAGCCACGTTCAATTAGACGCCGCTGCGTGTCCTGCATGAGCAGCGCATGACCATTATGCACTGGGTTCCGCAGTTGGAAGGCAAAGACGGCATCTAAAAATGAGAGAAGAGTGTTTAATATTTCATAACTTGCCATATATATAATTGTATTGCAGCAATATATGGATGAATGTAAGTCTATGACAATACAATTAAATTCCATTCAAGAAAATGTATGTCTATGTGACCTGCTACATTTCGAGGGCAAGACGACTTCTACCTCACAACATACTAGTCAAACTTAGGTCAAAAGGAGCAACTCCTGAGTGTAGCTCCATACCTGCATTCATCTCTTTAAACTTCTGCTTAAGTTCGGTTGGTGTGAGCCTGTAACTATCCAGCCCGTCATTCCAGTAGATCCGATCCAGCACCTGGAGATCACCACCGACCAACCAATCTCCGCTCTCCATCACCATCTGCCACAGGAAAAACCATCAGGAAAAACACCAATGATCATCTGTACAATACTGTTGGAAAAAATGCCATAATTTGCCCTGCTTCTTTGAGGTATGAGGAACATAAGGAACCCTTCAGATTCTGAAACCAAATGATGCATGCAAGAACATACTGACTTAAACTCTCAACATTGTTGTAAGAAAGTGGTCGAACAAAGCTATTGAATAAAGTCTTGTCTGCAGTCTTCTTCTGGCCACAAACCAGCCACAAAGACAGGAAAAAAAACTGTTTAAAATTGCCAACCACAGTTGGTTCTGAAAACATACAAAAATCTAACAAAACTATACATTTCAAAAATATGATTGTTGTGAGTTGTACAATCCAACAGGCTTTTCCTTAAAAGTGCTCATTGTAGCAGCCTAGGAACTTAAATAGTAAATACAGTTTTGTTTCCCTGTACAAGTTTAATAATCCTAGTTAGAAAGCTCTAGTCTACAAGCTTGATATCATTCCTAAATTTGGGCCCCTCGTTGATTAGCTTAAATTTCTACACAGTTCCATTTAAAACCAGGAATTACAATCCCTCTATATAGTGACCAATCATATCAGGCTACAACTTTCGGCTGCTTTTGCTAATATTTCGCCTTCAGGAGGTCTTCCCTGGCATTCGTTGAGCCGGTAACTTGGCCAGGGTTAAAAAGCAGTACAGTATGGTGAGAATACCACAGCTCTCTGCAGATTCGGGGCCGCTAGGATGAGAATACCATTTCACAACCCCACAGACTTTCATCTATTGATTTGACTTGACAGCAGCACTGGTGGCTCGAGAACTTTATGTGCAAGTATGTGATCATATTAAGCAAACTGGGAGAGGCCTAAAAGCAGTGAATGTTAATAAAACGATTCATCCAGCTTTTGCATTTGAAGACTAAATGCATGTGCAGCTGTCATTTGCTGGCCGCAGTATAGCAACAGTAGCAGTCGTTTATTTATGTTGCAGAGCCTGGCGATGGAAAAACTCAATGAGCGATCTGTTGGCACTAATCGCATCTATACAGTAAATCAACTCTATTAGCTGTCATAGAAAATAGCAGAGCACTGGTTGAGCACTGTACCCCTTTCAATGAGGGGGGGGAAAAAAACAACAACATTGATAATGCAATTAGGTAAATGCTCTCGAGTCTGGTTAACATACCCCTGCACCAAAACCCCAATGTGGATTCAGCTGTCAGACCGACAGCCGAAATAAACAGGAAAAGTGTATTTACCTCACATAATGGAGGCCAGTTTTACAGTCCTGCTGATTGACACGCTTCAGCAGAGGGAGTTTAACATACACACCAGACACAGTGAAATAATGAGATGAACGATTCTATGAACATAGTATATTCTCAGCT